TTACCTGAAAAGTGCTCTTTGGCGCGGTCGTCTCATTTTCAGCTTCCCTTCTCCACCATGAACCACGAATTCTCGTGCTAGACCAAAATCCAAAATATGGATGAATCTGTATTCTGGTGATCCAATTCTTCCAATGGCCATATTTGCTGGTTTGATATCTCTGTGTATAAAACCAATCTGAAAACACAGTTCTCCGTACATCTTCACTTTCCTTACTCCATCTTTCATCACCTTCTGGACCCCCACTATATTTGGGACCACGAGCTACCTTTTGTCAACGCAGTGGCGAGAGATAGCTCCTGATTATGGAAAGAGGTGCGAAAGCATTCGCATAAGAGAACGCGAGCAACCAGGGAACGTTTACCCTCTCCGCTTCCTCTGCCTGAACCTTTCTGCTACCCACCGCCAATGTGCTCACAACCCACTGCACTGTGACTTTTCCTTCAACACCAACATATTCAGGGGGGGGGCAAAAAAAGTCACTTTCCTTCATTGACTTTCGAGGCGCTATAAGTTACACTTTATAAATTCTGATCGGACATTTCTACCACCATATTAAAGAGCATATTAAATACTATCATGACACTCCGCCACAGCCTTCTGGACGAGCGCCATCGAGAGATTCTGGCACGCGACCGCGATGTGGTGCCTGAGATCAGCGAGATAGTCGATTTCTCCGCCACCGTAGACCACCCTATTGAACTCCGCCCGAACCGGGTAATTGAGGGGATTCAGGTCAGGTGACTACTTGGATATTCCATCTTCTTTAGGTACTCAGCCCCCTTCCATTCCAAGTAGGCGAGAGTTTCTCCAATGCCCTTCGATTCCATGTGGTGGCACCCAATGCTGTAGCAGTACAAAGTTTCCAAGAAGGTACGGGCGACGACATGTGAGGAGGATATTCTTCACGAGTTGCTCGATGTAACCGCCAGCGCTCACCTTCAGTCCGGGGTCCACGAAGAAAATATTGGTCTTTCCATTCCAGGTACGTCCGGTCCATACCATCAACCCGCGCCTTGGCGACTGTGGTGAAGATGATGTCCTAGACCGTGGCGACGTTGTCGGAGCTGCTCGATGTTGGAGGTCATCCAGATCGAGAGTACTGGTCTCCAGGTAGCTATCCATCTCCATACTAGAAGTTTCGCAGCTGTTTGGAGGTGACATGAATTCCAAAGGTCTTCTCCAGTCAGGCTGCGACTGGAGATGACTTCATATTTTGGTGTACATGAAGGTGATGGGCGAGAGCCAGCTCCTGCTTATAGAGGAACATCTTGGGTATCTTCCGCCCTGGTACTCGTATCCACGTCCTCTGTCTGGGCAGCGAAAACTTTGCTGATATGTGACTCGGTCGGTGACTTTTTTTGCCCCCCCCCTGTACACATGTAGAGGAGCAACTGATGAAAATCTATTCAATGGACTACGATACGCAAGTTTGGCCCAAAAAGAATGTAGATAAATATAGCCAACACGGCATAGATGACGCCTTACAGTGATGAGGGTCCCAATCCAGGGCTCACCATCGGTTATCTAAGGCATAACGGGATTGAGGGGTCGCATCTGGCCGCTGGGAAGATGGCTTGTATTTTCCCGTTGGAAACTACTAGTTATTGCTTTTATCACGGTTCACGCGCTATAAACCCTCTCTAGTTTGATTACATGTGTTATTATGTCTACCCTCACCCGAAGAGATGGTAAAATTGATAAGATCGTAGGAACAGGGGGCTTCATACTCTAGGGATCCCACGCAGCATTAGAGGAAGGGGCTCGTATTTGACTTTCAGAATTCGAAAGAAATGTTTCCTGTTGGTGTCTTTTCTCGTATTCAAGAGCGCTATGTAGACCTCCACCTACTCTACAGCAGTCTTTAGGAGGAGAAGGGAGGTTTTCAAA